GGGGGGGGGGAGAAGGCTGAAAGCCTTAATGTCCAATGGAGAGCACGTCCGAGCTGGATTTAATTCATGGCTGCAGGGAAGAAGCTGCTGTCCTCCAAGAGCTTCACCACGGCGGATCTCTTGTAGAGCTTGGCCAGGTCGTAGGCGGTGGCCCCCCGCTTGTTCTGGTGGCCCACCTTGCACTCCGCGCACTCCAGCAGGAACTCCACCACCCGCACGTGCCCCTCCCGGGCGGCCAAGTGCAAGGGCAGGTTGCCCTCGTTATCCTCAATGTTAACATCAGCTTTAAACTCCAGCAGAGTCTGCAAAGTGTCCAGAAAACCCTCTCTGGCTACATCATGAATTACAGCGAAGCCAGTACTGTCTTTCAGATTGGGGTTTGCACCGTTAATTAGCAACCTCCTGGCAATTTCGGGGTTCCCGAGTTTCATTACCTGTGAAAGAAAAAGGAGAGTTGAATACCGCGGGGGGTGTTTGCTTCAGCACGGGGTCTAGATCCTCAATTCTTATCTCTGGGTTTTGCCACGGCTTAATCCTCATTTAAAACAGACAGAAGAGCCCCCCTATAAAACTAATGATACACCAGAACATCTAGTTTTAATATATTTTTTACTAAACTCGGTGAAATTGTGAAAGATGTTATCATTTCGGTGGTAATAGCTTTCTGTCTCAGAGAGATTAATGTCTGAAACAGGCAGTGTAGAATGGGGATATAACAATTTTTTTTTTTTTAACGTGGGTTATCTCAGTTTCCTAACATACGAAAATTAAGTATGGTTCGGTTTTATTTGCCTAAGTGTTGAGACACCTTCGCATTACCGTTTAATCTCGTTAAACATCAAATATAGGGTCTCTGAGGAACAGATATTTTACCTCAGCAACAGCAAATGTAGGATGTGTTTTATAAGCTTCCAGGTGTTTACATTGTCTGTGCATTATCATAAAACAAATATTTGGACTGCACCATAGCTCTGTCTGCTAAGAAAAATAAATGCTAGAAGAAATTTTTCTCCCCAATATTTGTGTTTCATTATGTCACCCAAAAAGGAGAAGTTAAAAGGAATGTTTCAAAGTTCCAGAAGTTTTCTTCTAAAACCAGTGTATTATATTATACTTCCACAATTTCACTATAAGCAAACTGTGGCTATATTCTTCTGCTAAAAACATCCCTTTTTTAAAAAAAAAAAAAAAGCAACAACAACAACAATTGGATTTTCTGACTATTTCTCTCAGGGAAAAAAAAAAAGCTTCTTTAAATTTTCTCGATTGCATCATAAACTGTCATAATTAGAACGCAAATCTCTCTTATTTGGGACTTAACAGCTTGCACCGATTTTCCCCAAATTGCTCATTTTTTTGTTTTCTCAAAGACTTTCAAAAAATGAACACGGTAATGTATGATCTCCAGCCTATAGACAATATTTTCCTGTTCTTGTAATCAGTCTCGTTGTAAGTGTCAAATTTGAAAAAAGATCTTTTTTATTTTCTTAGAAACGTCCACACATTGATTTGAAAATCTTGTTTAAAAATTTTATCTGCATAAATGAGCATTACAGTGCATTAGATTTAGCATAATGTACAATTTCTACAAGGGATTTGCTGAAAAACCCTCCTGGTGATAAATATCTATCAGGCTTTTTAAGAAAAGCAAGCTATAATAAATATAATTACTGCAGCGTTTGGACCGTAAAGCAGCCCAGTATATTATATCTACAGACAAGAGCAAAAGTGCAGATAAGACGGGCTGGGATTCAGGGAAAGAGGTTTCTCTCTGCCCCAAGGCTTCCAGCTCCGTATGTGCCATTTCTTTCACTTCTGACTAGAGATGGAAGCGATGTAAAAGAAAACAAGAGCATTGTGATCTCTCTTTCTTTAGTAAAATCTGGACGTTTTGATCTCTTTTTGAGAGCCCAGGCAGTATTATTTGTGAATTCAAAACATGTATTTGGTTTAAGTGGGAGTTTTCTGTGTTCAGGCTAGGGGACTGAAGGCTTCAGTTAAAGATGCGGGGGGGAGAAAATCATAGAAAAGGCGATGCTATTGGGACGTGGGCTACAACTGTGCAGCAAATGCCCTTTATTTTGCAAAGTTTCACTTGGGGGGAGGGAGGCAAAGAAGGAGAAAGCATTAATTGAATAAGTCTGACGAAGAGCATGAAGGCAGGACATGTATTTGAGGCCTGCATAGGTACACTTCATCAGAAATAAAAAGTACAGCGCAAGACAAGCTGAGCAGTTGCTTAATTAAACATAAATGCAGAAGAAAAATATAAATTCATTGGTATTAATATAGGAGCATTCTCTCCGTTTTAATCGAGAGAGACATTATGGAGAGATTATTTCAGTTCTGGAGAGTGCACTGACAGAGAGCTCTTTCGAGCGTGGTCAGGCACCCACAGCACATTTCGGGATGATACATATTGAAAATAAGTCGACAGATTCTCCTGTTTTGATTTTTGTTGTGGTTCATTAACTCAGTTATGATTAGGCAGCGATAGGAAGTATTGCTAGGACACGGATGCGTGTTTAATATAGCTGGATGCTATGTCATTGTGTAAAATACTCCTTAATTGAGGATACGGACAGCTAGCTGCTTTTAGACAAAAAATACATTACTGTAGGACAAATCGGCTTTCAGCCCTTGTCCCGAGGATAAACCAGCTAGCTAAATGTTTCCTGCTTTCTTAAAGAAGTTAGTTTGTGTAAGTTTTTCATTTAAATCCTTTCACTCTCTTAAAAGTTGCTGCAAGTGCCTGCACTGCCATGCGATGCCCTATTTAGGTGCTAACAGGACAGAGAGGAGCTCGCAGATCTCCAGCTTCAGGGAAATTGTCAGAAAAGGGTCATTCCTGCTTTTTAGCAAGAGGTGCTTATTTTCCAGCTCTAACATTTTGATGTTAAGCCAAAAAAGCTGTAAATATCTCGAGCACATTCGCAAGCTATATGCTGTTTAAAAACCCAATTTCAGAAATGATTATCATGGTTTCGGGGGAGGGGGGGAGAGGAGTTAACAAACGATTTTTCTAATGTGTGAAATTAAAAAGACCTGTAGCTCCACTTCCACATTTCATTGCTTATACCTTCAGCACAAATAACCACACATTTTTTCTCCGGATTTATAAATCACTTCTTTCACTATTCGGTAGTTACTCTAGCCTTTTCGCCATCATTATCTGATATTACTAAAAGCAAAATCTTTCATCAGCTCCGATAGCTAGCAGTTGAACGAGTTCCAACTCCTGCCTGCACAGCCACACACTTAAAAATTAGGACATAGCACCCTATACGATCAGAAAGGAAATAGCCGGAACCAGTGCCCTGCTAGCCGATCTAAAAAAGCAAATTTTTAAGCCTTAATTATGAATGAAAAGGCGAGTGATTCAGCTGGAACCCTAACTCGTAGGGCTAACTCTTAATGTACATCGAAGGTCCTCGGTTCTGAGCAGCATGCTTCCAATGAGAAAGGTCATTCCTCACAAACAGCGTATAAAGGAAAAGTACCATCTACAGCAGACCCCAGAACCGAAACAAGTCACGCTTTAAAAGCATATCGCAGGAAAAGAAGGAGAAAAAAGAGACAAATCCTAAGCTTCAGAGAACAGCACATTTGTGTTTACAGACCTGCTATGAAATCCTGCTCACCTAAGCTGATTTCTTTTCATCTCAGCTCTTTCATTCCTTGCCTCCTCCCCACGAAGTTACAAAATATTAGCAAACTCGTAGCCCGTTTGACATTGAGGGTGATCCCCGACTGAAATAATGGTTTTGACCAGTTTTATTTCAAGTACGTCATTTTAGGGAGTTGGAGCCACTAAAGTTATAAAATATGGCATCCAACGAGTTTGAAAAACCACTCGAATTTCATCCACCAGCCTGTTTAAAACGTTGTCTTTTTTGGAAACCCGGGTCACGTAGGTACCAGTGATGAAATATTTTCTCCCTCTCTGGATACCAACCTGCAGCGCAGTCCTCCCAAATCCATTTTGTGCATTGACGTTTACATTCTTTTGCAACAAATTAGTAAGTTGCACTAGGTCCCCCTTGGCAGCCGCGGACGCCAGCTCGTTCCCAGAAGGCTCGGCCATTCTTTAGGGTGACTGACGATCGGAAAAAAGATGAGATTTTTTTTTTTTTTTTAACCAGGCATGGCATCGGAGACTGACAGAAGGATTGGGATGGTTAATCTTCTGGAGTAGACCTTGTAGTAAATACTCGTAAAAAACCTCCTTGCCAAGAGCCCGCCCCTAACTCACACGTGATTATTCAGCAAAACTGCAGCTCCACTTGAAAGAAGATTTCTTTGCTTCCACATATAGAGTAACTCCTATTAAAGACTTTGGCCACTTTCGGGGGGGAATAGATTAATAGCTATGCAATATATTATATATGTTACGGGTAACATATATACACGTACACCGGAGACTCACTCAGACCTGAGATCTTTGAAGAAGAAGACAACCCACCCTGTTCACAGTCGGGATCTGAGACTTTAGCAGCAACAGCTCCGAGGAAAAGTCTTCTGTAGCAGTGTGCATCCAACTCCCGCTCGGGATCCCCCCTTTCATCCCACACCGCCGCCTCTAGTCCGGGCCGAGCAGGGAAGAGAAGG